CAACCTGAGCCCACACCTTCTACTACGCCTTCAGTGCCTCTGCCTGACCCTGCATCGACCACCACCATCTCCACCTCCACCTCCACGGCCGCCGCCGCCCTCCCATCTGGGCGCCCGAGCCCGAGCTGCCTTCTTCGGCACCGGTCTGGTCTCCTGAGCCTGCGCCGACCACATCTCTTCCTGCCGGATGGGAGCCGACGTCCATACCTGCGCCCTCCAACTCTGCACCTGTTATTGGCGCGCCAGGGCCTTCGCCCGTGTCTTCCTCGATTGAGGTATCCTCGGCCCTGCCCTCTGCCAATGCCTCACAGCCATCTGTGCCTGTGTGGTCAGCACCCAGCGCCGTGCCCTCAGAGTCTGTCAGCTCAGCGGAGTCCACGAGCTGGGCGCCGACGCCTACGACTCTCGTCACTCTCATCTCAAGCATCACGGAGGCTCCTGTGCCGGAGTCGACAACTCACACTCCCGACGATGGGCTCTGGTACAGCGCCAAGTACCCACCGCACCACAATGGCACCGAGGGTCGCTTCTGGAAGTAAGCTGCGGGTCGGCAGCAGCAAATTGTACAGTGTACGACGAGGCACGTTTTCTTTTCTATGTTTCTTGCATTTCAGCGCGGCGCATTTGGTTTTTGGATTTCACGTTGTACAAGTCCCACGGATCGCAGAGAGAAGGATGTCACAAATAATGGTCATAGAAGTAGGAAGTGGAAATGAACGCATCACGAGGAGGGAACATGTCCATGGCACCGACCAAGAGCTGGAGCGGATCATGCCGTGTAAGGGGAGGCCATAATGCATAATAGACAGAACAATACGAACAATGCGAAGAAAATCATCCATCCCCCTCCCCCCCCCCCCGGACCACCCTGTGACGAGCCCGTAGTGGACAGATTTCTCGGGAGCTAGGCTGAAGACGTTTTGTACGACATGTCTCCCCATACCGACCGACCGCAGGCATCGCGCATGCCCTGCTTCTGGCTGGCCGGGCTGGAAGGTGGATGAGCGAGACAATGAATGGGAATTCTCAGGCGGGCGCGCCACGGGCCACGGCTTTGTGGTGTGGTCTATTCTACTGACAAAGGACCGGCACCAGACACCGGCACCAGACACCGGAACTGTAGATTGGTGGCGCCAACAGCAACCTCCAGGTTGACGTCTACTACTTAGGAGACATGTTATATCGGATGCGAAGGACCCAAATCGAGTCACGATGCGATTGACACGCTCGTCTGCGTCTCTACGAACCACGCAACATTTCCGCAACACCCCAGCCCACCGATCTTCGAAAGGTAGCTCCGCGACAGGTCGCCCGTACACATGGCACACGACGAGACCTCGGGTGCGCGTCAGCCAGGCGTTTCCACGAGCGAGCACAGTCTCACAAGCCGGACAGACGCGCCTGCCTTCCTGTCGGATGCCAACGCCACGGCCATCGCCATCGCCCTCCCCATCGCGACTCTTTTCGGTCTCGTTCTCACAGCGGGCCTGATCTGGTTCATTCTGCGCCGCAGAGCCAGACGCCGGGCTCTGGCGAAAGCAAAGGAGGAGCAGGCCAAGGGCTTTGAGCTGCGGACGTCACGCAGGTCAGGGTCCGGGCCGGCGGTACGGGCGGGCGGTTTGGGACGGG